GGAACTGGATTTTCTGCTTTTAACTGGACACTCAAGAACTATTTTTGAAATGGTTCATTTTCTCACACAATCCTTAAGATCACCCACACAAATAATTGGTTTTACTGTTAGAAAATTGCTTTTTACTGTTGGCATGCTAGGCTCCTTTAATATTTGAAAGCTAGCAGTTTGCTGTGTCCTGTTCAAGATTAGAAATGCCTGCTCCCCCAAGGCTTGCGTGTTTCTGTGCAGCTACCCTTTATATCACTGTCTTATTCTGCCCTCCTCCACCGTGTCCACAGAGCTCACAGCTGGGTTTTGGGAGGAAAAACAAACTTCATAGGTGATTTAAATAAAGCCACCAAGGTATACATGGTTCAGATCTCGTCACCTGCTCGACTTTGAGTGGAATATGATGGTAGCTTACTAGAGAATACATTGTGCTGGTCTACAGTTCGCCACTACATACTTAGTAAACCAGTGTACTGAAATGAAGCCAATGGCTTGATCTACTTTGGGCCTGTGTCTGCTTCTCCAGATGTGAAAACTAAACATATCACAAGATTATGCAGAAGAGAAAACAGCAGCTCATTATTCATACTCTGGTACATGTGATCCTATTAAGTAATATCTATGTTATATAGGTATATATAATAGATATATTTTATAAACAAATTATACATGTTTTAAATAATTAGTAATAAGTTAAGAGCATGAGCCCTGGTACTTGCCTTTGTCACTTACTAGCTTTGTGACATTGGGCAGATTGGCTGAGCCCTTTGCTGCATTTTACTTGCTGTAAAGTAGAACTGCTCTTACTGGGGCGCCTGGGTGGCTCAGTCAGTTAAGCATCCGACTTCGACTCGGGTCATGATCTCACGGTTCGTGGGTTCGAGCCCCGCATTGGGCTCTGTGCTGACAGCTAGCTCAGAGCCTGGAGCCTGTCTTTGGATTCTGTGTCTCCCTCTCTCTGACCCTCCCCTGCTCATGCTGTCTCTCAATCTCTCAAAAATAAATAAAACATTTAAAAAAAAAAAGATTGGATGTTAGACTTTAGAGTTGGTGCTGGAATGAATTAAGATTTTTGGGACTGGTGTATCATGGAGTGAATGTATTTTGCGGAAGAGAAGGGCATAGATTTTCATGGGGCAGGGAGCAGAATGCTGTGGCCTGAATCGTGTCCCTCCCAGAACTCATAAGCCTTAACCCCCAGTGTGATCATATTCGGGAGATCATCAGGTTTTGCTGTGGCCGTGAAGGTGGGCCCCTGGTGATGGTGTTAGTGCCCTTCTAAGCAGAGACGTTTAGCTTGCTCTCTCCCCCTGCCAAGTGAGGCCACAGTGAGTAGGCAGCCATCTACAAGCCAGGAAGAGAGTCCTCACCACAGACTTACCATATTGGCATCTTGATTTTGTACTTGTATCCTCCAGAGCTGTGAGAAAATTTCTGTTCTTTAAGCCACCAGTCTGTGGTGTTTTGTTATGCCAGCCTGAGCAGACTACGGTACCTCTAATTTCTCCCTCCGGTCCTTTGAATCATTGCTGTCATTCATTCCACCTAAACATAAGCACACTTAAGAATAGTACATCTATACATATACTATTTATTATATATGTTGTGTATGTATATTAACATGTGTGTGTATTAACATTACCGAAAACTTTGCTGACATTATTGTTTTGAACAGTTACCTGTTAGATCAATTAAGAATAAGAAAAATAAGTTTCTAAATTTTAACTGTATTTATCCCTTCTCTACTGCTTTTCCTTTGTTTCTGTAGATTCAAGTTTCTCACATTATTTTCCTTCTCTCTGAAGAATTTTTTTTTTTTTTTAGCATTTCTTATGATGCAGGTCTACTGGGAGCAAATGCCCTCAATTTTTATTTGTCTGAACAATTGTTTCTGTTTCACTTTTAAAGCATGATTTCATGGGACATAAAACTCTAGGTTGCTGAAAGGTCTTTCTCTCAATACTCCATTCTCTTCTTGTTTGCATGGTTCCGAGTGGCTGAATATAATTCTTCCTTGCTTATTTATAGCTAAGATGTTTCTCCCCACTCTGGCTTCTTTCAAGATTCTTTTCTTTTTCTTTCCTTCTTTTTTTTAAAGATCATTTTCTTTCTCTTTGATTTTTTTGCAGTTTGAATAAGATATATCAGGTTGTAGGTTGTTTTAGGGGGGAGGGGAGGGAGATTCTCAGTCATTATTGCCTCAAATATTTCTTCTGTCTTTTTCCCTCTCTTCTCCTTTTGGCAGTATTGCTAGTACCTGTATAGTACACCTGTGTAGTGTCCCACTACAAAGACGTTCTTAAATGTTGTTTTGTTTTTTTCCAGCCTTTTTTCCAGTTTTGTAGTTTCTATTGAGATAGTCTCAAGTGCAAGTGATTTTTTTCTTCAACTATGTCTCATCTACTAATGAGTCCATCAAAGACATTCTTCATTTTGTGACAGTGTTTTTCTTTACATTTTTAAAAATATTTATTTTTGAGAGAGAGACAGGGAGAGAACACACGTAATCTCTCATGCATGTGAGCAGGGGAGGGTCGGGGGGGGGACAAAAGATCCCAAACAGGCTCTGCCCTGACAACACAGAGCCCACTGTAGGGCTCAAACTCACGAACCATGAGATCATGACCTGAGCTGAAGTCAGATGCTTAACCGAGTGAGCCACACAGGCGCTTCTGTTACAGTGTTTTTCAACTCTAGCATTTCTTTTTGATTCTTTCTTATAATTTCTATCTCTCTGCTTACATTACCCATCTGTTCTTCCAAATTGTCACCTTCGTCCAGTTGTTTTAAGTTCCTGGTCTGTTAATTCCAGCTTTCGTGCCATAGTTGGCTGTTGGCCTCTTTCTTGCAGTTTCTTCAGACTATGTCTTTTGCTTTTTAATATGCTTTGTAGTTTTTTCCTAATAGTCTGTCATGATGTTCTAGGTAAATGGAACTGTATTAAATAGACCTTTAGTAATGTGGCAGTTGGATGGCAGAGAAGTGCAGTGTTTTTTAGTTCTCTGATCATGTCTGTGTTTTAGGGATCCTGTGTCCTACACTGTGAACATCACAAGTGCCTCTCAGTTTGTTCTTCCCCTTGGGTGGAACAGGATAACTAGCTCATTTCACTTCCCTGGGGTCAGCTGGGCTCTGAGAATATCCCAGAAGACTTAGGTCTGGTAAAGTAGTTTCTCTTGAGGGCAGGCCTTGTTAAGAAGAGAGCTCTGGTGTATTGCAGATGTTCGCTTTCCCCCTCTTCCTGCAGAAGGGCGAGTGGATTTTTCTGATTGTTACTTTGAATACCAGGTAAAACCCTTGGAGCTGAAATTCATGTAAGTGTGAGACCCATCGTATGTCTTGGTCCCCTTGGAGTTTTTAAATTAAAAAAAATTCTTTTTAATGTTTGTATATTTTTGAGAGACAGACAGAACATAAGCAGGGGAGAGACAGAGACAGACAGACCGACAGACAGACAGACACAGGATCCGAAGTGGGTTCCAGGCTCTGAGCTCTCAGCACAGAGCCCCATGTGGGGCTGGAACCTGTGAACCATGAGATCATGACCCGAGCCAAAGTCGGACGCTCCCAACAGACTGAGCCTCCCAGGCGCCCCCCCCACCCCCCCGCCCACTGGAGTTTTTCATGCTCAGACTCCTCTCCCCTGAGTTTCCGGTGATTTGCCGTTACAGTTCGGGTTTTCCATCCCCCGCACTGGTTCTAGCAGAGCGTCTTTCTCTGGTTCTCTGGCTCTTTCTGCTCTGGTCAGCTGTGGTTCTCGGCGTCCAGCCTGTCTGTGTCAGCAGTTCGGGAGCAGCAGGTAGTCCTGGACGCTCACTTCCCTGCTGGAGCTCGGAAGGGTTGACTTTTCAGCCTGGCCACCTTTTTATTTGCTGATAGATGGAGATGTAGTGATGACTTCCAAGCCTCTTACCCGTAAACCTGGAAACTGGAATTTATTCGTCTTTGCTTCCCCAAAGAACTTAACCCATTGCCTGTTTTATCTTCTCTTTTAACATGTTCTTTTATTTTTCCTCCTGGGCTCTCTTGCTGAGGTTGCCGTGAGTTGTTCATTTCCTGGATATTTATACCTGAACTCATACTGTCTCCTCTTCTTTAACTAAACTGAATCCTTTTTAATGAGGCCGCTTCACTAAACTGAATTTGGGCTGATAGCAAATTACCTACCATTAAGGTACCATTCTATTTAGTCACATTTTTTTTCCTTTGAAAGATCATTTTACACTGCCTTGGATGTGAAGAATTTACTTAGCGCCAATTTCATGCTTAAATCCTTAGAATTTATTACAGTGAATTGTACTTAAATTGCCTCACTACTTTGTTCGCTACTTAAGATGAAGAACCTTCCCTTGAATATTGTTTTTTCTTAGTGCTTGACATGAAGTGCTTGTTATATGTGACATGATTGACATCACTTATAGTTAGGATGTAATTGATAGCCTAGATATACATTATTTCTTTTTTTATTAAAAAAATTTTTTAATTTTTTTAAGAGAGTGCAAGCAGGAGAGAGGGGTGGAGGGAGAGAATCTTCCGCGGGCTGTGTGGAGCCCGAAAGAGGACTAGATCCCACGACCCTGGTATCATGACCTGAGCCAAAGTCAAGAGTCTGATGTTCAAATGACTGAGCCAAACAGGCTTAACATGTGTATATATCTTATTTCAAGATTTATATTTTAGAACATTAGGCATAGGGATATCTGACATATTTAGATAGTATCCATTCCAGGTCTTAAATGTACATTTCCTACATTTTATGGAATTGTGATATGCTAGGGACTCATGATTATTATTATCTGATATTTTTCCCTCTCCCAAAAATCTTTTTTCATCACTTTTGCAAATATGCTTAGGTACAGTAGAAGTGTTAGAATTTTTAAATTATACTGGTATAATATTTTAGATGATGGAAATATTCTAGGACTTAAGTTAGATTTTGTCAGAAGTCAGATTCCTATGTTATTAATATAGCCTAACTAATTTATTATGTTGCATTTGTTTTTTTGCAGACTGTTCTCTCTGTATAAGAAAATTTCTCTCTTATAAAACACAGTGTCCAACTTGTTGTGTGGTAAGTTTTCCTTTCCAGTTTTTTTTTTTTTGGAAACTTAATTGGTACAAATATCTCTGTGTCACATATACACAAAAGCCCAAAGGAAAAGGTGTAATTATTCTAACTGGCTACATAAAAGATATTTTCAGTAAGGACCTTTAAAATACATATATGGAAAAATGGGCTTTGTTCAATTTCTCATAAAGATTTCTGATAACCTAAATGTATTTTAGGAAGTAGAAATTGATTTTAAGATCAGGAGGTACCACTCTTTAAATCTTATGACCTATGTTTTTGTGGCTTCTCAGGTTTTATAATTTTTCACCGTGGGTAGAAAATCTGATGGTAGGATTATTCATTTGCATAGGATTGGTGTTTAGAGTTTGTGTGGAAGGCAAAGATTCATGGCCATTGGGCTGAACCCAGTCTAACTGGTCCCTTACCTCTTTCCCAAACCAGAACTTCAGGGAAAACACTAGGAAATTTGTTGTTAGAGTTTTTGAAGCATTTCAGGTAGGTGCGAAGGTAGGTAAGAAGGGCAAGTAAACATAAATAGGAATAAAGAAAGAAGAAGAAGAGACAGGTTTAATAGGAAGAACCCTGGGACCGATTGAAGGGTTTGGGTTCAGCTTTGACACCTCTGTTAGGTACACAGTGTTGGAGGTCACTGAACTGCTCTCAGCTATTTCCCTGTGTAAAAAATGGTGCAGTTTGGCTCCCAAGTTTAATCCCTTTGCAACTTGCCATTGTCAACATGGTATCATCAAGGAGATAAACTGCATACCATTATGCTAAATAACTACAAGATCGTTCATTTTCCTTTTGCCTGTTTCCTGGACAGCAATCTTGTTTTAAAAAAAAAAAAATTTTATGTTTATTTGTTTTTGAGACAGAGAGACAGAGTGCGAGCTGGGAGGAACAGAGTGAGAGGGAGACTGAGAATCAGAAGCAGCTCCAGGTTCTGAGCTGTCAACATAGAGCCTGACACAGGGCTCGAACTCATGAACTGTGAGATCATGAACTGAGCCAAAGGTGGACGCTCAATCGACTGAGCTGCCCAGGCGCCCCAACACCAATCTTGCGTTTAAACCCTCTTTGAACACCTAATGCCTCTACTCATGTGGTCACTTAAAAAAGCATCTCTGTTCTGCTTTTTAGGGCAAATTCTTGGGATGGCATTTTGAATAAGGATTCTTGCTCATATTAGGTTTTATCTTAGTCAGTACAGAGCACATACGATTTTACCAGGGGCTGTGGAGATCTTTTATCAGACTTCCAGTCAGCAGATGCTGATTCACTGTTTTAAAATTCCATATTAGCATAAGATAAATGAACTTTATTTTGAGGCTTTCCTGGAAGACTTAGTGGGATGGGCTATCTCAGGAGAATGGACCATGGATTTTCAAAACAAGATTATGACAAGTTATTTATTGTTTGTGACCTTTTTCCATCTGCTGTTTTTCCTTTCTAGACAGTCACAGAGCCGGATCTGAAAAATAACCGCATATTAGATGAACTGGTAAAAAGCTTGAATTTTGCACGGTATGATTTAATTTTGTGACTAACCCCTAACTGCTCTGGCCTTTGATATGAGTCCCCTCTTCACTCTGTGCACTTTTGGGGATTAGGGAATGCAGGGTTGCAGATTTTGAAGTAAAAGAAGGGAAGTGACAACAGTCATTAATCACCCGTGGACAATCTAATGGTAATAATTTTTCTTCCTTTACTTAACAGAAAGTCTCCTGCCATGAAAAACAGGAGTTAAAATGCAGATTTGAGTACTTACTTTTTTTTTTTTTTTAATGTTTTATTTATTTCTAGGAGAGAGAGGGAGAGACAGTGTGAGCAGGGGAGGGTCAGAGAGAGAGGGAGTCACAGACTGAAACAGGCTCCAGGCTCTGAGCTGGCTGTCAGCACAGAGCCCAACGCGGGGCTTGAACCCACGAACCGCGAGATCATGACCTAAGCGAAAGTCGGACACTTAACTGACTAAGCCACCCAGGCGCCCCTTTCTTGGCATTTTAAGGGACAAGATGATCATGCGCATTAAGGCCATAAGTCATAACTGCTTGTCTGTGCATGCCAGATAGGTGAGGAAGAATACTTGGATCAGATCTTACTAATGAGAATTTGATGTATGTAGATTAAACTTATGTTGTATGGTTTAAATGTTAATGCTTTTTGCATTGCTGAAAAAATTCAACTTAGTAAAATTTAAAGGTCTTACTGGCTTTATTCAACACTTCAGTGAATTGGTCAGCATCGAGTGTGGCAAATAGAAAGGAGCTCTAAAAAGCTGTAGAAAGTGAAAAACTTCTTTTTTTTTTTTTTTAATTTTTTTTTTAATGTTTTATTTATTTCTAGGAGAGAGAGAGACAGCATGAGGAGGAGAGGGGTAGAGAGAGAGGGAGTCACAGACTGAAACAGGCTCCAGGCTCTGAGCTGGCAGTCAGCACAGAGCCCGACGTGGGGCTCGAACCCACGAACCGCGAGATCATGACCTAAGTGAAAGCCGGGCGCTTAACCGACTAAGCCACCCAGGAGCCCCTTGAGTACTTACTTTTTGAGGACTACAAAGATACCCAAAAGTATTTTATTTTTCCTGTCCTACCCCTAGAATCGTCTACTTTTCTAAGGAGCCCTGGTTCTTTTTATTGGGTATTTAGAATCAGGGTCTGGAGCTAGGTATGGTCATTGTTCCTGAGATGTCACTGCTTCTAAGCCCTCTCAGTGGACAGAACTGGGTATTTGCATGTATACATATGTGTGTACTAACCAGTGTATACATGCGTACCTATAACTGTTTCTATGTCTGTTATATATTAACCCATTAATTCTTAATCTGATTCACTCAGCATGTATGAGATGGTGTGCACTGTGAAACAGGTAATTGCTGGTACTTTATACAGCGCAGAAATGTAACTTTACTTCTTAGTTGTCAGATGCATGATGGTGAAAGTGAGTTTGGTCACCTAGAGGGATATTAAAAGGCGTATTTTACCAACAGTATCTTGAAATACAATTTTTAGTTTTAGTCATGCAAGTCAGTCAGGAATTTTCATTATGAACACAGTGTTTAGTTAATAGTTAGGTGCTCATCTCCTTAAGTGTATGACTTCTTGGCTCTTGGGACAGGTCTTATAGTACATTATATTCATTCTAAAAATGTAAAGAGATTTCTTCCAGTAGAATTGCACATTTATTTCATTGAGTTGTGTCCTGAAAATTATCAGATTTAATACTCTGAACTCGCCTAATATGACTTTCTAGAAATTGGCTTGATTAGTCATTTCCGTAAAAAAGGCATAAAAAGGTGATATTTCCTAGGTTAAGAAACTGAGATTCTCTGATTCTCATAATTACAGTGTATTACTTTTTTTATTTTAAAGTCTTTCACCAGTTAGCTTTTGAAGTCCGTGAGAAGGGGTGGAGCCATGTCTTAAGAAAGGAATTTATTAGCTGTTTGATTTTCCCTGAGACCATAAAATTGTATCTTGAGGCTTATTTTTTTCCTAGTTGGTACTGAAAGCATAATAATTTTGCTGCTGGGGGAAAGGGAGTGTCACAAAGCAAGTTTCTGTTTGTTGAAGAGAAGCGACTGATATCTTTGGGTTCATAGACCTTTCGGTAACTTAAAGGGAGGCCTTGGAATGATTGAACTCTCCCATTTCCCACTTACTTCCAAAAGGAATAGGCTGTTTACTTATTCATTATAGTGAGTGTGGTGAGAAGCATTCTTTGTGGATTTGGGATGGATTTTATCATTTGTTTCTCCCTGTTTGCCTTGGAATTGCCTTAGGGTGAACATTCCTTGGACATTTGTCATATCTAACGTATACTTCATTTGCAAAAGTAGTAGAGATGAAATTCAAGCTAATCACTCTCACTACTTGTTTTATATCTGGTTTAAGATTGAAGAGGGAAGAAGTTTAATCTTCTGACTAATGTAAGATATTTGTTTGTCAATTTTGTTTCTTTAGACAAAAGATTGACATTCACATCTTACATTTTCTTCTAACTCTAGCCATTTACTTTGAAAGAACAAGAGGAATTTTCTTGACTCAGTTTTATTTAAAATAATGTTTTTTTTTTTTTGGCTGTAAGCTTTTTTTTTTCTTAAATAGTTTATTGTCAAGTTGGTTTCCATATAACACCGAGTGCTCATCTCAACAAGTGCCCTCCTCCATGCCCATCAATCCCTTTCCCCTCTCCCCTACCTCCATCAGCCCTCAGTTTGTTCTCAGTATTCAAGAGTCTCTCATGGTTTGCCTCCCTCCCTCTCCCCCACTATTTTTCCCTTTCTTCTCCCCCATGGTCCTCTGTTAAGTTCCTCCTAAGCCACCTGTAAGTGAAAACATATGGTATTTGTCTTTCTCTGCCTGACTTATTTTGCTCAGCATAACACCCTCAAGTTCCATCAAATGGCCAGGTTTCATTCTTTCTCATTGCCGTGTAGTATTCCATTGTATAGATAAACCACATCTTTTTTTTTTTTAATTTTTTAATGTTTTATTTATTTCTGAGAGAGTCACATACACACAGTGTGAGCAGGGGAGGGTCAGAGAGAGAGGGAGACACAGAATCTGAAACAGGCTCCAGGCTCTGAGCTAGCTGTCATCACAGAGCCCGACGCGGGGCTCGGACCCACAAACCATGAGTTCATGACCTGAGCCGAAGTTGGATGCTTAACCGACTTGAGCCACCCAGGTACCCCAAACCACGTCTTCTTGATCCATTCATCAGTTGATGGACACTTAGGCTCTTTCCATGATTTGACTATTGTTGAGAGTGCTGCTGTGAACATTGGGGTCCAAGTGCCCCTATGCATCAGCACTCCTGTATCCCTTGGGTAAATTCGTAGCAGTGCTATTGCTGGGTCATAGGGGAGTTCTACTGTTAGTTTCCTGAGGAACCTCCACACTGTTTTTCAGAGGGGCTGCACCAGCTTACATTCCCACCCACAGTGTAGGAGGGTGCCCGTTTCTCCACATCCTCGACGGCATCTAGAGTCTCCTGATTTGTTCGCTTTAGCCACTCTGACTGGCATGAGGTGGTATCTCAGTGTGGTTTTGATCTGCATAAAATAATGTTCTTAAGAAAGTGTTGTGTGGAACAAAATTTAATCAGAATATTTTTGTCTAAGTGGAACATCATTTTTGACCTAAGTAAGAAAATACTGTTTCCGTATTTTTGTGTAGCAACCAGTCTACATCTGTATCATTTTTACAAATTGAGAGAATTAAGCATCATTTACTGCTTTGGTTTATCCTGTCCCCATCAAGGTCCCAATTTTGTCCAGGTACTTACTCCATGTTTAAGAATTCAGACATTTTAGATGATAATTATAATAGATCATTCCCTTAGCATCTTAAGGGAGTATGTAGAATATAATTTCCGTATGGTATAGTTTAAAGCATACTAGCTTTGGATTCAGGCAGAACTGGGTTCTCGTCCTGGCCCTTCTAGCCGTGATGTGACTGTGATCAAAATATTAAACCTCTTTGGCCTCTGTTCCACATCTGAAAAGTAGGAATAATATTGTTGATACTTTCAGGGATCGTTATAAGGATTGGAAATGAAGTGTTCTACCCAGCATAATACCTGGAGCAAAGGAACCTAAAAAAGATTCCTGTCATTATTATCATTTATATTTTACCTGTGTTTGTATCATCTTCCCCTGCATCATATATAGATACCCTAAGGTGCCGATAAGAATTTGTGCTTTGGTAGGCCTCTGCCTGTGTCACCAAACGGTACTAGACTGCTGTTGCATGTTTTGAATCAAAACAGCGTTTGCGGGGACTTTTGCTAGTTAATGAAGTCCATGGGCTTGATCACGTGGGTTTCGGGACCGCTCTGAATTTCTCTTTCATGTCTACCCAGAGACCTATTTTCCTTCTTGATTCTTGGCCACATTTTGAAGAGATAAGGTTATCATATAGTTAACAAATGGGCCAGATGGTCCTGTACTTGATGGAGTCACAGTTATTCTGAATGGCCATAATTCACCCCAAAAATCTGAGTATCTATGGTAAGTGCTATTCGGTAGTATAATACCAACTCACTTTAAACTAAATTTATGGGAGTGATGGACATGAAAGGGAAAATTACCAATTCAATTTAACTCTGAGCATCCATTTTAGAGTTAGTATTTTTACATAACCCCGATTAAGTGGTGTGAATGGCAACGCTCCCATGGTTTTCAATCCCGTATGTCCATTTGTGACTTACAAATTTACACCTTCAGGTAGATCTCACCCCAAAACTTCAGGCTCCTCCACCCCACTGCTTACCCCATATCTCTACTTGAACCCCTTAAAAGCGCCTCTCAGCTCTCTATGCTGCCTGCCAGCCCCTGCTCCAAATCTCCTGCCCCCACAGTCTTTCTTCCCTCAGTAAATGGCAGCTCCGTCCCTTCATTCGCCCAGGCCGCAAACCCTGGTGTCCTTCCCGACCCTTCTTTTTCACCCTGACTCTGTCACTCTGTCAGTGAAGCCTCCTGGCCTGGTCATTCCCTTGCTCCCGCGTCGACAGCTTCTCCT